GAAGCAGCCCATGATCTGACACTACATATGTAGTGCTCGAGAAGCCCTCAGTCTCATCAGGATCCCTATCTCCTCAGGTTGGTAACAGTACTACGAACATCTCTGATGGAGTTGCCTGGATGCCTGCGATCAAGTTCTTCGATCACCTCGAGATATTCCCTGGGTCCAAGATCGCGCATTTCAAACAACCTCCACAAACTCACTAGTATACCTTACAGCGAAATGGTATAGCTTATCTCCTCCTTCAGGCATATCGCGCATTCTAGTAGCCCTGACTTGGTGACTACTAGCTTTTCTTCGATGACGAAAGGAGAAATAGAGAAGTCGAAACGGAGCTCGGTTCGTAATTCCTCTCCACTCCAGTGAAGTGTGCTGATCCACATCTAATCTCTTTGAAGGAGTGACATTTGTTTTGGTTAGGGATGGGATGGACTGGAAGACCTTCAAGAAAGGACTTCAGGAGTGGAGAAAGAGACGTTCCGTGGTACCTTCGACTAGTCAATAATTGAACGGAATGTCGTCTGCTTGGTCCAAGCCCATTTTACCCCTTGTGTAGGTCGATACCTTCGGTAAAATTCTGGTACCAGCAGTCTGGCATATATCTGAGCTCGATGTCTGGTCCTCAAGGCTGCCAGATTAGAGCAGCCATCTATTATGCATACGTCATGACTACATGAGTTCTCGCAAGCATCGAGTCGTTGAATTCAGTCAACATAAATTTAACAAAATCCACTTTCAGCTAAGATACCTCATCTTGTATTACGACAGGCTTAGACAGGAAAACTTGAAAGGTCCTAGACCCTGCTCGTATAGATTGTCTTGTGTGGTAAGATGCACGTTATCTACGATGGGATCCGATAGCCAAATTAGCGCACCAGCCCAGACATGTCAAATGATGTTTCAGGAGACGAGCTCTCGGTACAGAAGACAGGTCACAAGGAGCGCACGGAATACCTCCGGAATGAAGGCGCGATGGAGATGTGCGTACTCATAATGCACGCCTTTTGCCATTGGCAGTTATGTTCTCGTCAGGAATAAGATTCCGACCTATCGTCCGTGCTGACGTCGATGAAATCGACATCGTTGCTCATAGTACGTGCGAATGGCGTGAGTTAAGCGCTACTGTTTCGCGTTGTCAGGGCTTGTGGGTGTAACCATTTCAAGAACGTCATGATCAACGTACCTCCTTCTGAGGGATCCCATCTCGAAGCTTCCCATCTTGATAACGGCGGGACATTTGGTTGGGAGGATAAGCTGCACCTATTTCACCACTTCATATCCGCAGCATCTCCTAGATCCAGAAGAGCATTCGATCCTGCTGCAAACGGAGCTCACCCAAATAATGGCGCAGCTTGGTCCCAAAGCGCATAAACAGAGCTAGCATCCGATTGGTTGGTAAATGTCGACATCCCCCAAGTTACTTCTGACCAGTATTCCGCAAACCTACGGCGCACATAGGATGGGAAGAGCGGAACGAAGCGGACCGAAGCTGAGGGCAGGACATCGAAGTGGTATAAAGTAAGCTGTGATTCCGTCTTGCTATACAACTCACTCGCACACTTTACTTGCACCTCGAAGTCCTCCTAGGATACTGAAGCAAGATGTCGAAGAAGGGCACCAAGACAGGTTGGTTTTGCTGCGCATTGGACCACTGCATAAAAAATCGGTGCTGACGATGGCCTTCCACTACCTACTTCATGTAGCTGTACCTGCTGCCACCCCCAGGGCTCCAGTCCCATCCAAGGGAGCAGCCTCCCCTCCTGTGAGTTGGTCGTCTCGCCTAAACAATTAAAACTGACTTAAATTGTGGACAGAGCAAAGGGACACCAGCAAGCCCTGAGTCCCCTGCAAAGGGTAAGGGCGACAAGGGAACGAAGAAGAAATAAACCTGTACAGGATCAGTGGAGGAACCTTGCTCGCCGAGGTCAAAGCAATGGGACTGGAGAAGAGCGTTGAGTTGGTTACATCCAGTTAGATACGTGCTGCCCCTGGTGGGAGCTACCTGTATATAATGAACAAATCAAGTCGCGTCATTGCCTGTTACCTGTAACATAATGATGGACCATGGAAGGCACTCTGGGCTTCCACGTCAGAATGTGTACGTTTCTTTCCCTGAATGCACAGGAACAGCGCGAGCCCCCACGGTTCGGCTGACTCCATGTTTTTGGACAAGTGCAACATGTGCTAGACGGCACAGACTGGGACTGAAGACAGGCGCATGCGACCTCGATCGTGCTAAACAGGCAAGAACAAGGGCCACTGCAGGTGGATGCAACATTGTAACATCGTTGTTTAAACAATTACACTTACCCCGTAAGGTAACTTACATAATCGAAATGTGTTACCACTTGCGATCAATTGAAACAACCGAACTGCCTCAACTCTCCTTCGGCGACCACCACCCCTCCCCATCGACGCTGGCTGGCTGACTTATACATATGACATTGCAAGAAGCGGAACTACCATTATCTTGTACGACTCTTTATTTCGGATCACCACCGTCGCCGGTTGAGGCACGCATGGAGCGTACATGTCCTTCGGAGAATCAACAAGAGGTCGATCAATCCAGTTTCTGGGATTCGGGAAATCAGAACTGGGATGCGCATAAAATTGGCTGGGCCATTGCTGGGGGCTGCGCAGCATTGGTATGTTCATTCTCATGGCCACATTGTTCCTATCTCATTTGCGAATGAACACTTTAGACAGTGATTATATCGCTTATTTCAGTCTTACAGCACTGTCGGTAAGCACCTCCATTATTTTTCAAATCTATGACCATAGACGTTGAACTTTCTCTCTTAGCCATTACAATAAGCCAAATGAACAGCGACAAATGTGAGTTGCGAGCCTTGCGTGATGCATTACTGAACGGGTACTTCATACCAGCCTACGAATTTTATATATGCCACCAGTTTATGCCGTCATCTCCTTCTTTTCTTACCGATTCTTCCGGAGTTATACCTACTATAGCCTTGCAGAATCAGGTGGGTTGTGTCCATACTTTCACCTTGACATCCAACTCATGGCTTTGCAGCGTACGAAGTGAGCATGGCTTTCTATATGTGATCCTGTTACCTAACTTGCACTAGGCAATCACCTTGAGTGCTTTCCTGTGCGCATTCCATCTATTCTCTGCCATCTATCTGTCTGAGTATTTATCTCCTAGATTACTTTTGATAGAGTATGTCGCAGCCACTGCGTCAGGTCACAATGCTCTGATGGCTATGGAGCGCAAGGACAAGAGGCCCCTTCCAATGCCTGTAGGTGCGAGTAATCCGAAGTGTCTTCCAGCATTAATGCGCCTCCCCTCAGTTTTGTTGTTGGCGATTCCGTCCTACTAAGGTCTACTTCGCTGTCGTGTATATTATATACCACACTCACATTTTTGACAACTAGGCATATTTCATGTATACTGTCAAGGTGCGAACATCACGGCAGACGCGTCGAAAGTTTTCTTAGCTGTCCACAGTGGGCTGTCCTCCAATACGTAATCATCCGACCAGGTAACTCTAGCGGCTGACCCTTCTGCAACCTACGAGCGCTCAACCCGTCGAGAACAGCCTGTTCTATTGCAGGCATCATTTGCGAAGCCTATAACGTACTCTGTCCGTCCGGCCCATACAGCATCTACTTTGCCAACGTATACCTGGAGGTCATTGACTTTATCAGCATAAGGTATATCTCCTCGTCCATCTCATACCCAATATCTGATCATTGGCTAGTGTTGCCCTATATGGGTTACTTCTATTCTATGCCCTTACGAAAGACGAGCTTCAAGGGCGACGACCACTTGCGAAGTTTTTGTCCATCAAACTGATTGTCATGTTCACATTCTACCAGTCTTTTGTGGTAGGTGGTTCCTTGGCTGGTGATGTTGCAATGCCGCTATCCCTATTACGTAGATCGATTCACTAGAAGGGAGCGTCATCAAGGGTAAGCGTTTCTGAACTGTCCTTCGCTGCGTAGCCAATCATCTTTGCATCAGCAACCCAATACTGGACATCGACCAACATTGCAGATGGTTTGAATGCGTTGGCTATTTGCATCGAGGTAAAGGTTGAGCCCTACTCACATTTCATGAAACTAATCCGCGGTTTTGAGATGGTTTTCTTCTCCATGCTGATGATGTGGGCGTATACCTGGAATGAGTATAAGATTGAAGATGCCCCAAAGACAAGCATATGGCGCCCGTTGTGGGACAGGTGCGCGAAATTCACTACCCTCTAAGCGTATCACTCATCGACTTGAACAGTATCAACTACAGTGCGCATCCTCATAGCTAGCGCACCACCCTCTAACCTTCTTTTTCAGCGGACTTCCTCTTCGAAATAATCGGATCTCTCAAGTTCTTCTGGGACAAAGCGCGCAAGAAACCCTCCGATCCTAGCCGCCGTCCGGATGGTGAAGTCGTCAATCACTACAGCAAGAGACTGAACTTTGGTCAAGCGTTTGGCGTTGAGGGTGGCAACCGCCCAAAGTCTCCCTCTGGCGGTGAGTCAGCGGCTGTCCGTCGTCGCCCGAGCTACGACGAGGAGATTCCTCTAGCCCCATACCCGTACAATGACGCACGCAGCGAGTAATTTTTGCAAGAACAGCTAGGTGTCGGGTATCGATGTGGGCGCGTCGTTGCTGGGCCGGGCTGGCGTCTTGAGGTCGCGGTCATGGCCGCAGGAGTACAGCATGACGGACTTGCTTGACAAGATGCGCATATATCCAGTTTCTCTGTGGACATCTCTCTTTTTCTCTTTCTTCCTTGTTTCTTGTTTCTTGTTTCATGCTACCACACACCTTAACCCCGTGTATCTCATATAATCTCGCATTTGATCGTGCGTATGAGTAATCCCGTCCAGACATCGATGGTTATGGACCCTTCAGTGCTGCCAGCTTGATAGGACCAACAGGGTAAGTGGTTTCACTGCTAAGATATACATTCTTCTGGAATCGTATCCCTTGGCTTCGACCTTCTTCGCCGCCAAGTAATTCGGAAGAGCAAAATTTTTCTCGGATACGGGGAATCGAACCCCGAGCTACCGCGGTCAGACTGTGTAATTCTGAGAGGCGGTAATGTTAGCCATTACACCATATCCGAGTTGTTTGAAGCAGTGTATTGACAAACTTGTCTGTGGGGAAAGAGATAGTATGAGACTGTGTCCAGTGCCTCGCATTGAGAAAAAGTGTCGGGGGCGGTGAAACTTGAAACGAAGCTAAATTGTATCGTCCGGCTGAGATGATCGATAAGAGAAGAATGACCTGGTTTATGCACTAACGGGTCTGTCGCGATCTATGTAATATGGCAACCGCTAGGCATCAGGTAAGGTGATAGGTCATCGAGTGGAATAAAGCCAACCTTGAGGTACATACTCGGCTGGGTCTTTGACTTCCCAGGAGCCGATCATGTGCTTCATCTGAAAAGCCACTCAAATGAACGCTTAAATTCAATGGCTTACGGTGTTTACATGACAAGATTCTCTGTGTCTGATTGGTGGAGAAAGCGTTGAACTCCCAAAAATGTCTGAACCCCGAAGCTATTCCAAACTTGGCCTCCAAAACCGTGCATAAATGTACATTTCTGGGCTTTCACTTTTCTGATGTTGTGCATACCAATGTATGGCTTGCGAGTCCTCCGAGTTTGAGATTGGCCCCGTAGCTGTTGTGTATAGCTTCTGGGGCTATGTCCAACGTAGGTTCCAACAGGCAATACATAATGTTGACCGTTTCACCATATCCGACACGCACGTTTCCCTTTACAGACCACGGTGTGACAACCAAAATGAATAAGATAGCAATAAACACAAGGTATAAGGATAGAGCGCCAGGCTAAGTAGTAAGAAAGCGACACAAAACCAACGAGAACTACGCGGGTACAATATACTTGCTAAGACGGATCTGTTGGCGCACTGTGTCGTTCATTCGTATGGAATTGCCACTAAGACTAAGCACGGTAAGGGCAACGGTGATAACGCGAGAGGATACGTATATGATCCCGGCACGGAAGGTATCGATGCCTTCTACTGATGTGGGATATGGGGCAAGACACATTGATAAGGGGAAAATCGCTGAGAAGTCAGAAGAGAGTAGAAGAAGCAGGAGACTGATAGATAAGCGGGACCTGGAGTGGGAACCCAGAGTACACGGTATCGTCGGAAGACAATCAGCAACAACCAGACCAACAGGACATAAGGGAAGTCCAGTGCAAATCAAGAATCAAAAAATACTACACCACGAGACGGAGGATGAGACGATGATATAGCGAGCGAGAGAGCTTAGGCAGTGCCAGCATAGGATCCATATCCGCATATGATGTGAACCTCTTCTCGGCACGGCTTGTTTGCGTGGCGGGGTAGGGGCGGACAATGCCGTGTCTGGAGTAGGCATGGTCGGCGAGTAGAGCGTCCTCATCCCGCTCCCATTGTAGCTGATGGTGGGCGTGGGGAAGGGAATTGGACTACTGGGAGGAGGGGACGTCATCCTGCGCTCTGCATAGGCACGTAGCATCTCGTCAGGTGACATAACGCTAGCTGGCATGGGCATCATCCCAACGCTGGGTGAGACAGGAGCAGGGTAGGCGGGAACGGGGGGCAAGGGCAGCTCCTATGCTCCCCTTTTGTGGTGGGAGAAGGAAGTCATCTCCGGAACCCTCGTCGCCATTGCCAGTGCGCATCACTGTTAGGGAAATGAGTACTGTGCGAAAGGTCAATACCGAAGATACCTACGAGAAAGGGAGGGCCAAACTTCATCCATGCTCGGACGGCCTTCCGTGGTGTCGTGACCAGAGATGCGGGCTTGGATGTCTTCAGGAGACAAAGAGAATGCACCCTTGGTTTGCGTTGGAGAACAGTCACCCGAGTCCCTTCGAACAGGAACAGGGGGAACAACTGCTGTATGGAATGCGCGACTAGCAACCGTGCGTCGAGATTCCATAGAAGGACGGACGTCAGGCGCGAACGATATCCTGGATACACGCTCTCCAGATGCCGAAGCACGGAGGCCAGGACGGAGTTGGCTCATATTGGGATATCCATCTGTGAAGGTCTGGTTCATACTTGCCGAATCGCCTCAACAGCAAAGGTACTGCTGGCGGGGCGGATAGCGCCGAAGGTGAAGGCCGAACTGCGGTTCCCTGCACTTGACACTGCCATGCTGTTGCGAATTGCAGCAGTAGCACCGGCAGTAGTGATAGACTTCCAGTCCGTTGAGATGGTCGACATACGCTTGTCGACTGCCTCGGAGAAGCGCTTGCGTTTCTGCTTGCCCTTGGAGCGACTCCACTTGATGTAAGCGACAATGCCGAGTGCGATGAAAAAGAGGGGGACGAGAACGCCAGCAGCTATTTTTCCCTTCGAGAGAGAACTGCTGGTGGGGAAGTTGTTGACATATGTAACAGTGTCCGGAGAAGACAAGTCAGCACTGGCTGGTGTCGACCCAGAGGTAGGGGCAGTGTAGGTTGCAGTGAATACAGGTCCAGCAGGGATAAGGCTGAGGAAGGGTTGGGTGCCAGAAGTAACGATGGACAGTTGGAGTACGATGCTGGAAGTGTCATTCCACCACTTGGGTTGGAGGGTAGTCTGATAACTACCCTGGCTAAAGTCGACGTTTTGCCACTCGTGGATGCGGCTGCTGGTGAGACTTGGAGCAATAAGGTAGATATCCACAGCCTGAGTGTCCTGCATGCACGCAGTGTTCCATGAGATATTGAACGAGTCGCTGGTCGAAACCGTCATCCCCGTGGTGGGGTTAGTGTAAAGGCCGCCAGTCGAGCAATCTCGGGAGAAAATCAGTACAGAACACAACATAGATCAGAAAGAGAGTTAGTTATTTTTTCACTCACCATCGCGCTTGTGAAGGGAGGGATGAGCACCGGCATGCCCAACACGAACATTAGCAAATCCTCGCTTGTTCATATCTGGTAGATATGTGTTATGTGTTTTTGATACTTAGAGGGTATGTTGTGGGTTTCGAAACCCTTTGAAAATAAAGAACGGCTCCGCGACAGAAGGGCGGCTGGTTTGAAAGGAACGGGGAAAAAATGAGAGGACAAGGAAAAAGATACTTTCGCTACAGACGACGACGACGACGGCACCCGACAAGTTCCACGGATTAACAATGGTAACGTACCGTAAGACAAAGCACGGACAAATAGAGCAAAAACAAAATAAGTTACGTAATCCGGTGTGTACACTGTGAAATCACTGATGGGCCTCCAACTTTCAATTGCCTCCGACGACAACGATACACATTACCAGGATAGCAGCCCACCCTCATTACTCAGGCCAAAGCTACACTGCTACCACCAACAAACCCATTTTCCAAAGCCCATGATACTTGCGCGTCACGGTTTCCACAACCAACCAAAGAATGAACGCTGTCACTGCATTATCACACTCTAACGTACACTGCCTCTATACATCTTGAAAATCAATCATTTAATGTCAATGGGCTGTCACGAGTTTGTGCATCTCCCCGGCATCCGGAATCTGGACCAAGTCCATCAGCACAGTTTCGACTCACGAGATCACAACTTACATTCCATTGGTGTGCTAGCTGCTGCCCGGACGTATCCACTCAATGCTTCTTCCGGAGAGTATGGGCTTCAACGAAATTGGTGAACACTGTACAAGTAGTTCGCGCCAAGATAGACTCACCTCTCCCACGTCCCCTCCTTGAAGTCGGGCAGGATATGGGTATGGGTTGGAGATAGCAAGTTTGATTTGTAACAGAACTGCCGAGATGCTGATGGGAACAGAGTGATGAACGAAAGTCCCCAGCAACATCAAGGCAGCATTCTCATACCTGTAGCTTGGCAGCCAACCTGGGAAAGGGAACCGAGTTAGCATCCGTTTTGTTTTGAACTCAGTCACACACCGTCTGAGGTAAGCAGATCCATACATATAGAACCTCCTACAACAGAAAGAGGCAGTAAGTGACACGGTTAAGCTTCAGGTTCGGAGAACATGTCTTACCAGCAGTAATATGGCCACCACCACCCTAGATCGTGATATCAGATTAGGGGCATAGGAGCCGGTCAAAGTCATACCTGCATCCACGGCCGAAAGCGGGGACGAATAATACGGAAGAATGGTGGAGCGTGCGGGAAGCTCGATGGGAATCGAATCTCAAGACTACTGAGTTCACCCCTCTGCGCTACGTCAGACGGTACGCAAGGCTACAAAATAAGTACGTACTTTGCTTTCATGTCTTTTGCAATTGGGAGCTCAGGATCGAAGGAATGCACCTCAAGGATCCACTGATAGAGGTTGTCGTCATTAAGCTGGGGTGGAATGTACCAGCCCAACGTCGCCAAATCGTTCTTCTGTTGTGCGATCTTTTGTTCTCGGAACATTGTTCTAAGTTCTCGCTGCAATGCCATTGTAGCCGGAGGTGAAGATTCTGTGGGAGGAGGAAGCAGCTCTTTAGCATTCCTCTTGGCCCATTCATCGTTTGGCTTCCATTCCTCAAGAGCGGAAGGACGCTCAGTGGTGGGGGCGTCTGTCATGATCTCCGGTTCGTCATCAGGCGCGTCAAAGACCGCACGATCTTCTTCGTCAAAAATAACGTCCTTTCGTCCCTCGACACAAGCGGTCATGAGCTTGTCGAGATGGTACGACGGCTGAGGCACGTCGACAGTTACCCTATTGAGATGTATTGGACGCTCCGGATCTTGTGTCAGATACTTCCCATCTTTAAGCTTCGGTGTGTTCGTCGTCAAGGTAGATTCCCGACCTAGGCTCGAGCTCGGCGTCCCAGCTTCGACTTGTTGGGCGCAGCCCGAACAAGCAGATAACGGCTGTTCGCAGTACATCAATGAGGTGGCACCCAAGTCAGAGGCTGGAGATGACGTTCTCACCACATAATCCAGTCTGTTTGATCCACTACATAGTACGGTTCTTTACACACAAATTTTTGCGGGCAGTTTACAATTTCCGCGACGGTACAGGCTGTCGTAGGATTAATTATGCTGTTCTTCCAGGAAACCGCGCTGCCGCGAGCGAATCCGCCCAGAGATACGTTACCATCCCTGCTGAAATACACACCTGTGAACGTTTCAGCCACTTGGAGGACCAAAATATCATATCGGTAACGGACCGTTTC